GTTAACTTGGTGCCAGACCTAAAGAATCCGCAAAATTTTGTGTGTAAAATAATTGCCCTATTAGAATCCTTCCAGCCTTCTCCAAAGTCTTTGCAGAGCAGCTAGTGGAGCATCTGGACCACACTGATGCATTACATCTCTACCAGTTTGGTTTTAGGAAAATACTCCACAGAGTCTGCATGCTGCTACAAATCCAGTCTTGATGGAGGAAGAATAGTTTGGGTAGTCTTTCTAGACCTGAGAAAGGCTTCGACACTGTGAACCATGAGCTTCTCATCAGCAAACTGTCTCATTTTTCTTTTTACATAAATAGTAAAACTTGGAATCAAAGACAGGCACCAATGTGTTTCCGTTAACAATATAAATTCACCTTTAAGGCCTTGCAGCATGGGAGTTCCACAAGGGTCCATTCTGGGCCCCCTGCTGTTCACTCTTTACAGAGATGATCTGCCAACTGTGTGTAAGAGTAAGATTGTTATGTTTACTGATGACACTGTGGTGTATGCTCATGGCAAAACTGCAGAGGTGGTCGCAGAAAAACTGACCAATGAGATGAAAAAAATTACACAGCGGTTAAAAAAATAATTTCTCACTCTAAATCTCAACAAGACTGTTTGTTTCTATGTATTTTCCAATTCATTAAATTCCTAATTCAATCTGGAGACTTATGAGACAAATGCAATTTTGAAGTAGTTTTATTTATTTTTTTAAGTACATTCTAAAACACACAGGGATCCAACGAAGGAACACGAACCCAGAGTCGATATGCTCCCTTCTGTTAAACCGAGTGAGAGGTCTGGCTGCTGTTCTGAACCATCCAACTCCATCTCCCATGTATATATAAAAGTCCCTGCCTTGTAAGTCCTATGGCTGCCGTGTCCATAAAGCCTCACCCGGAGGTCACAACCCGGAGATTAAAGAGCAAACTCCTTCTGACGAACGGGCCACAGCTCTCGATTAAACAGGCCATCCTCATAACGCCATAATTACGAGAGGAGAGGAAGAAGTCGTGAACCGGTGTGTCCAGAGAATGAATGGGAGAGCAGGGGGCGGCGGCGTCACGGTGCACTTAACCTTTACCACCCCATCAAATCTGCCATAGTCAATGATGTAAGGGCGGTTTCTATCGAGCGGCGAGGGATGATGTCCATGGAGGAAGTTTATTTGTTAGAAAGACGGCAGTCGCTGGGTGTGTTCGATGGGTATAGAAGTAATTTGACTTTCTCCAGAACTCGGTCATTGTTGTAACTGTGCTTCCTCTTGCCAGGATCTTTCCCCGAGTGTAGTTTAAATGGGAATGTTCGAGATTAATTTGTTATATGGTTGTATGTGTTGTTATTTTGTGTATTTAATTGACTATTTCTTTTGAATCTGCACAAGAAATATCTTCACATGAATCAGCACAACAGACATAGCGCAAGTAGCAAGTGGTTTGAAAAACGTGCACACACACACACACACACACACACACACACACACACACACACACACACACACCAAAAGCTGATCTAAAAGTGTGAATTTTAAGAGGAAAGAACTATGTCCACTAGTTACTTTATTGCATAGTTCCTGGTCTCTCTCTGGTCTCTCTCTTGTCCCTCTTTCTGGTCTCTCTCTCTGGTCCCTCTCTCTGGTCTCTCTCTGGTCTCTCTCTGGTCTCTCTCTCTGTCTCTCTGGTCTCTCTCTGGTCTCTCTCTGGTCTCACTCTGGTCTCTCTATGGTCTCTCTATGGTCTCTCTCTGGTCTCTCTATGGGCTCTCTATGGTCTCTCTATGGTCTCTCTCTGGTCTCTCTCTGGTCTCTCTCTGGTCTCTCTGGTCTCTCTATGGTCTCTCTATGGTCTCTCTCTGGTCTCTCTCTGGTCTCTCTATGGTCTCTCTCTGGTCTCTCCCTGGTCTCTCTCTGGTCACTCTCTGGTCACTCTCTCTATGGTCTCTCTCTGGTCTCTCTATGGTCTCTCTCTGGTCTCTCTCTGGTCCCTCTCTGGTCTTTCTCTGACCTCTCTCTGGTCCCTCCGTCTAGTATGGTCTCTATCTGGTTTCTCTTTCTGGTCTCTCCTGGTCTCTCCCTGGTCTCTCTCTGGTCTGTCCCTGGTCTCTCTCTGGTCTCTCTCTGGTCTATCTATGGTCTCTCTCTGGTCTCTCTGGTCACTCTCTGGTCTCTCCCTGGTCACTCTGGTCTCTCTATGGTCTCTCTCTGGTCTCTATCACTGGGCTCTCTCTGGTCCCTCTCTGGTCTTTCTCTGACCTCTCTCTGGTCCCTCCGTCTAGTATGGTCTCTATCTGGTTTCTCTTTCTGGTCTCTCTGGGGATCCCTCTCTGGGTCTCTTTCTGCTCTTTCTGCTATACTCTATATCAAACTATTCAAACTCTCTTTCCTCTCTCTTGTTAATAAGTCTCAGCTCGCTACTTTCTCCAATCTCGTTTCGTAGTTTCGTACCAAACTATAATCCAATGGAGATGATCTTTTACCGCTAATTTTTGCTTCTTTGCATAAACCAACAAACACATTCTAGCAGGATTAGCATTTCCAGATTTCTCTAAATTGGCTTAATGCTTTTCCCCATTTCCTCTACTTAGGTTTCTGATGTACAGTAGACTCTTCCATTTGTGCAACATTGGACGTTAATTATCGCTCATAATTGCGTATCCATTGGAGCAGGCGCATATTGAATTAATATTGTAAAGCGGCAATACTCAGCATAAGCCAGTAATCCTGATCCATGTAAACGCCCAGAAACAACCTAGTTTTTATGATTCTGTCACGTGACTTGCTCTGTATTTATCATTAGCCCCACATGACCAGGGCTTTGAACATGTATAATCTGATATCGAGCTCTCCCTCTGCAGATGTGAAGCTTAAGTGTATGTTCAGACTGGAAGACCACATGCTGCAGTGTCATCCGCCCAGGGCCAGCCTCTCCATCCTCAGCCAATCACAGAGCTCTGCCAGGCCCCGCACCAACCAATGGGAGTTAAGCAGGCAGTTTAGAAGAAGCCATTTCTTACGAACCAACGCTTCTTGAAGATTTTTGTTTCCCAACGGCTGCTCTGGCTCCTGCTCTGGCTCCTGCTCTGGCTCCTGCTCTGGCTCCTGCTCTGGCTCCTGCTCTGGCTCCTGCTCTGGCTCCTGCTCTGGCTCCTGCTCTGGCTCCTGCTCTGGCTCCTGCTCTGGCTCCTGCTCTGGCTCCTGCTCTGGCTCCTCCTCCTATAGAGAGAATTAATCACTCCGAATTTATCACTTGAGTTCCATTTTTTAGTGTCCAAAAAAGCGTTGTATAAAGGGATGCATTATTATTATTGTTATTATTATTATTATTATTATTAGTATTATTATTGTTGTGTCTTTCAGCTGGCCTGGGAACTTCTCTGGATTCCCCCACATGAGCTGAAGGTAAAGGAAAGGGAAGTGTAGGCGTCTCTGCAGAACAAAAACAGACGGATAGGTTTGTGGATCATTAGTTTGAGATATTGTTAGCCACATTGATCTAACGAGAACTCTCCGGAACGTTAGCCTAAAATGTTGCGTTCGCCGTTAGCACCGTTCAGATTTGCGCTTCTTTTTTGTTTGTTTTCAGGCCTATCATTTATGGATGAGGAGTGAGTTTGGAGAATTGCTCTTTGACGTTGTCTTCTCCGGCGTTTGGTGAGGTTTCAGTTTGTTGTTGTGTAACAGGGATGAATATTTAGTCCCACTGCGGACGTAAACACAGACATCTTCACCGCAGTTGTATTATTTTGTGGATGATCTCATGTGAACTCAACAATGCACTGAAAAATAGACCATTATGTGCCTATTTTGAGAAGCATTCATTTTAACTAGAGCGCTAACATACAATACATTTCTGCGCTAATTTATATTTGATGAGAATGGATTTCAGATTGAGACCTCAGTGGAACATTTCTAGTTTCTGTTTTAAAATGCTTTACTCAATGTGTACTTGTATATAGTATTAATGTATATACAGTATTTATATATGCCTTTACCTTGGTACTCTTTGCTTGAAACTTGCAACTTGATTGAAGCTTTATTCCTGACCCCTTACTCTAGTTTCTCTCTCTCTCTCTGGTCTCTCACATACATCTCTCTCTCTGGTCTCTATCTCACTTTAATCGCTCTCTCTCTAGTCTCTCTCGTTAATATCTGTCTCTCTCATTCAAGTCTTTGTCTATCACTCTCGTCTATTTCTCACACTCTAGTCTCTCTCTCTCTTTCTGACCTCTCTCTCTCACTCCAGTCTCTCTCTCTTACTCTAGTCTCTCACATCTGCCAGTGGAGCTCTTTGTTAAATATGAATCTCCTTAGCTCACAGAGAATCACTTGCATTTGGTTCTGAATATTAAAGCAGGGTTTTCCATAACTTCTCCAAATCCTCAATGAAAGAGCAAGACTGTACACACACGCACACACACACACACACACACACACACACACACACACACACACACACACACACACACACACAGGAGGTAGCACTGGCTTTTACTTTGCTAATTCGACCTCAAAATTGCATGAACTGCCCTTTTACCTGCATGAGCGCGTGCCTGATGGTCTCTGGTATTTCTGTCAACTATCACAAATTCAACCCGACCAAAAAAAACAAGGAAAAACCTGTTAAATTCTCCATTTTAATCAATACAGGTGCAGCTTTGCGTTCCAGTCGACGGACCAAACACAACGACGCAGCCTTTTGAATGGAATAAGCCAGATTTGATGCCAGGGTTTAAGGATTTCTCCGTGTTTTGCTCTGCGGATTAAAAATTGGTTTATATACCGTAGCGCCCAGGCTGTGTATCTTTCAGCCGGGCAATCGAAGAGCTTCTGACAAGGAACGAAAAAGAGAGAAGCGAGAAGACCAAAAGCAAAACACCAGAGAGATTTTGAACAAATACGTCGGAGGATTTGATTCTGTATGCCGCTGTATCTTTGCAATCCTGTATGTGGATTTACGCAGAGGTTGTTGCAGAGACAGAGGGAGAGTGGAGGAGGAGAAAGGCAGGATGAAGCAGGATCAGATGGAGGTGAGGGTAGGTCGGTCTTGGGCTTATCTCGCCATTCCATACCCGAACCTCCGCTGGGCCCCTTCACTCCAGGATGAAAGCAGAAGCAAGCCCGTGGCAGTGAGGGGTCATCCATGCAGGTCATCCCACCATTTATACAGTCTCGCTTTGCTCTTCCAGACTCTCGGCTCATGTACGTCAATGTAAATGAATGTTTTTGCAAGTTATATGTTTTATCTATCAAATAATGCCTCAAACAAACTACAGCAAAAACAAATGGTATATTATTATAGCTATTCAAAAACATTGCCAGTGTTGAAATCCACTCTTAAAGCCGCGGTTTTCATGACTTTTGTTGAGAATTGTCGGATTAGTTTGAATCTTTTAAACCTTTCCATTGTCGAGCTGTCCTCCTCAGTAAACACAGACTGTATGCATGCAATGAGCCCCGCCCCCACCCCCCCAGTCCCAACACTCGCACTTCCAACCGGGTGCCCCTCATGGGTGCGAGTGCGTAGGGTCCAGTCCCAATTCTCCAGAGAGGGCTTTGGCCCCGCCCCCTTCGCGCCCCTGATCCACACTTTGCCGTAGCCTGCATCTGAGCGCACTCTGGCCAAGGATATTGCCCATAATTCTTTGCGGTACACACCAAAACGTCGGGAAAATGCATTTAAGTGTAAGTTTTGAAATATATATGCTGTATGTGTGTAAATAAGTTTTGCTGTTTCTCGGAAAGAAGCATAAACGTCTGATGAAGAATTACGGACATTCTATGGAAACAATTTAATAACCTTTTTAATCCAAGCGTTTATATAACATTCAATTCAAACTTTACACTCAGTACATTAAACTTAGGATGTATAAAAACTGACCAGATAAGTTAGTTACCCACATTTAGCTTAAAATTATACCTCTATCTAAAATTCCGAATAACCAACATGTATTTTAACGTGTGTGGAGCAACTCTCTTTGTTTCCCACAGGGTCAGACAAAATGACCTTTAATTCTTATAAAGTTTGGGTCTGTACCTTGGTCTGTTAAATTTGCTACATATTAATAAATTACTTACATAACTGCACTCTGAATATCAATATATGATCTACTTCTATCAAATATTTTACAGTTGGACGCCTTGAATCTGTCTCCAATTCATTTCCCTTGTGGTTCCATGTTTGTCTAAGTCTAAGGATCTTCACTTCAAGAAAATTGTCAAAGCTGCATCTCTCCGATATTGGATTTTTTTGACGTTTTTCACCAGAATCTATTCATCAAAGTTGGGGATGAACTGTTGTCTAATTAACCACCACTGTATTCATCCGGATGTAAAAGCCAATATTTCTTCACTTCTCTCTCATCAAACAAATATTAACAAACATTACTTCCTATAGGACCTTAGAATTAAAAGCATTGGTCATGTCGCAATGGCTTTCGCTCCTCTCCGTCAATTTTGTATATTTTTTTTTGCAGGATGAAAAGTACCACTGTTTCTTAATTAAACCTCAGCGTTGCGGAGAATAGATTTCCGTCGTTATTAGCGGTGTGATGGTTGTTTTCCCAGCTGGACGGGTTTGATTGTTGTGTAGCCCTCGTTTCACTGGCGAGATTGAAAATGTGGCGTGTTTAACAGTTAGACAGACTTCTTTTCTCTGCCCTCTAACTCCGAGCGACAGTTGGAGACAGATGCAGATATAAACAGACTTTATCTATTGACTAATGGGTGGAAAAGCATTAGAATTACCACAGACTTTTACGATTATGAGCCGAGAGACAGTAGCTCAGTTGGTTCGATTCCCACCATGGGACCTACTCCAACTGCTCCCACTGATGTCTACTGTCGTTGTGTCCTTGGGCAAGACACTTAACCCCACGTTGCCTGAAGCCCCCCGCTGAAAGACCAAGGCTGTTTCACCACTGACAGAGCAGCCATCTTCCCTCCCTGCAGAGGATCAGAGGGACTGGTGCTATGAGCGTTGGGGGCAGCTCTCATTGCCACCCCCTGACCCAGAAATGGACAATAAAGGGCTTGAAAATGAATGAATGAATGAATTCCTGTCCTCATCATTATTATTTTTTACAGACCAAGGTACAGACCAAGGTACAGACCCAAAGCACTTTCCAATGTCACAGAGTCAGATATTGTTCCAATCCTTCCACACACGGTGACGACAGAAGCGAGTCCAGAACACACTGGACCATCAGCTCCAACACCATCCATTCACTCTCTCCTTTACATTCAGACCTATTGTGCATGTGTTTAGTGGTAGGGCAAACCGGAGCACCCGGAGGAAACCTACACAGACACGGGGAGAACATGCAAACTCCACTCAGAAAGGCCCTGTTCCGACTGGAATTCGAACCCAGGACCTTCTTGCTGAGAAGCGAGAGAGCTAACCACTCAGCCACCATGCACATTTAATAACATAATAATAATCCATTGTTTTTGTAAAGTGTTTCTTTGGACGATCATAGATGCTTCACATGTCATCGACTACTGTAGCCACAGCTGCCCTGGGGCACACTGACAGAAACCAGTCTTGGTCACACACACACACACACACACTTCTGCGCTCCTTAAGTGGGTTAAGTGTCTTGCCCAAGGACACAACAACAGCAGACATCAGTGGGAGTTGGTGGAGAAGGTCTCGTGGTGGACTCGAACCCAGGACCTTCAGGCTCAAAGACCAATGCTCAACACACTGAGCCACTGTCGCCCCCTTTGTATCTTGAGATTTTATTTTTTTAATCTTGTGTTTTGCGGTCCTCATTCTTCCTGTTCTGTGACTGCGGCTGCAACACTGACATTTCCACACAAAAAGGCAATGGCTTCATCTTCATCTTAAATCAGTCGTTTTTTTTAATGTTGCTCTAATTGTTGAAACCCAGTCATGTTTTCATTTCTTTCTGCTTCTCGCTTTGAACACCCTGTATTCTCGACGCAGACTAAATGTCACGGCTAAAAGTAGAAAATATTTAGAGTTCTAACTTGATCTTGGGCCTTTTACCCACAGCAGCGATAACACAACCTCCGCCAGCGCTTGATTGTGAGCCATAAAGAACTTTTCTATTTATATTACCACAATGTGAGCTGTCCGCAATTAGTGATAATCAAGAGCTCTGTTAAGCAACGATCTGAGGCATTTCATTTATTTAATCATTTTTAGTCATGAGCAATAAAGTCCACTTATTCTTCTTAATGAATAAACACAATACAAGTGTGGATATTTAAGAACTTAGAGATTTAGGTCATGATAAAGGAGCAGGATTTGAGGAAAGAGCTGCAATATATTTAAGATTAGGATTAAGATTAAGATTCAGAGATTGTTTATTGGTCCCACTGTGGGGAAATGTCAGTGTTGCATCAGCAGTTTCAGAACAGAATGAGGGCCACACAGCACGAGATAAGTAAGCAATAACTAAAATAAATACAAAATCTCTAACTTTAATCATAATAATACATTTTATTTCTAATGCGCCTTTCTCGACATCATGGACAGAGGTGTGGTTCTGATGTTGGAGAGTGGCTCAGGTCTAAACAGTCGAGTTTTGAGGTGGATTTGTAGAATGAGAGTGAGTGGGTGTTACGGAGGTCAGAGGAGAGAGTTCCAGAGCAGAGCGGCTGTCCGGACCACAAAACAATTCATTTATTTCATTTTTGAGTATCTAGGCGGGTTCTGAGGGACTCAAGGTCACCCACAGAACAAGTAGAAAGCACATTTAAATACAGACTAACAGCAAAGTTAAAAACGGCAGAGGTAAAGCTCCAGGATATAAAACAGTTTGGATTCACACTGAACACGCTTCAGTAACATGCATTCATTCTATTTCTGACTTATAGAAAATCCAACATCAAACTCTGGGACTTTTTATTATTTTATTGTCTAAAAAAAGACCTTTGGGCGTGTGTCAGAATTTGATGCAGAAATGAGAGACGATGTATTTAATCAATCTTTACAATCAGACACAGAAATTCAACAGCTCTTCATCTGCACGATCCTGTCCCTATGGGCTCAGCCTGACTGACTGACAACAGAACAGGAACAGGGGGGCCTCCGCTGACATCATCTGGACTGGTCTCGGACTCTGGTCTGGTCTTGGACTGGTCTTGGACTTGGGCCCTGGTCCAAGTCTTTGGTCTTGGGACTGCTTCGCCTGAAAACATCCTTTACTCCCTGACGACAGCGCTTCCTTATAGACTAACATCTGGGACTGTTCTGACACCAACCTCCTGTCGTTCTCTGGGGTCTGAACATAGAACACACCTGTGTGTAGTGCATCAAACAACATTGTAATCGTCAGTGCATAAATTCACTGAAATTATAATCGACGTGTGCAACATTTCTGAGATATGCATCAATTTCCATTGTTGTTCCTTTCTAAAAACGGGAGTTACATTTTTTAGAGAATGTCCCTATGACTAGGTTTAGGGTGAAAAAGCATCGGATTACTTTTTTGGTTCGTTCAGTTGTAGGGTTTTCAGTTTGGTGGCCCCAAAATGAATGGATGTTTGAAACCCTCCACGCCCACGGGAGAACCGGGAGATGGAGGAGGAGTCGGGCGGCCCAGGGCGGAGGACATGGATCGGAACAAGCTCATGTCGAGGAGGAGACCGGAAATAATGGAGCGGATGGCATCGTGGAAGCACAGTTGGGACCTGTGCGTGTTGTCGTACACATGAGGACAAACTGAGACACGGTCCCAGAGGCAGGGACAGGCCTCGTGTGAGCCTGCGAGAGAGGGGCGCTGGTCAGGTGCTCTTAAGCCCTCCCGCACGGGAATCCCGGACACACAAGACACCTCCGTGGGCCACACAGGCTGAGGGCGACACACAGGCTGAGGGCGACACACAGGCTGAGCGCGACACACAGGCTGAGGGCGACACACAGGCTGAGGGCGACACACAGGCTGAGGGCGACACACAGGCTGAGCGCGACACACAGGCTGAGGGCGACACACAGGCTGAGGGCGACACACAGGCTGAGCGCGACACACAGGCTGAGGGCGACACACAGGCTGAGGGCGACACACAGGCTGAGCGCGACACACAGGCTGAGGGCGACACACAGGCTGAGGGCGACACACAGGCTGAGCGCGACACACAGGCTGAGGGCGACACACAGGCTGAGGGCGACACACAGGCTGAGCGCGACACACAGGCTGAGGGCGACACACAGGCTGAGGGCGACACACAGGCTGAGCGCGACACACAGGCTGAGGGCGACACACAGGCTGAGGGCGACACACAGGCTGAGGGCGACACACAGGCTGAGCGCGACACACAGGCTGAGCGCGACACACAGGCTGAGCGCGACACACAGGCTGAGGGTAGGGCTGGGCGATTAATCGATTTTAATCATGACCATGCGGGAGTCACTGAAGTTAGTATTAGCGCCACCAGCTGGACCGAGCGTTGTACTACAGCACAGTTACTCAGGCACAGTTGAAAGAACAAGCATGAAAACCCGAGGAGGCTTTTGGAAAAGACTGTTACAACATTTCTATTTTGAGTAATCAGTTTTAAAAATGTGATATTTCATGTAAATAATGCATGTGTTTAATAGGATTGATATATTTGCGATGGGCCTTGTTTGTGTGATTTAAGTTATTTTGAAGGTGCATAGTGTCATTGTAAGTGAAGTTATTATAAAACTGTTAAGCAACATTTTCACTGTTTACAATGGCAGAGCCATCTCGTTTACAAGCATGTTTTAAGGCTTAATTCCTGTTACACTTATGCTCCATGGGGATTTAGATTAAACTGCATAAAGGAAAATTTATTTCTTTGTCAGTTGTAGTTTGTTTTTAAATAGAAAAAAATAAATCGATTTAAAATCGAAAATCGGATTTGGTGTGAAAAAATCGGAGATTTTTTTTTTTTGCCATATCGCCCAGCCCTAGCTGAGGGCGACACACAGGCTGAGGGCGACACACAGGCTGAGGGCGACACACAGGCTGAGCGCGACACACAGGCTGAGCGCGACACACAGGCTGAGCGCGACACACAGGCTGAGCGCGACACACAGGCTGAGCGCGACACACAGGCTGAGGGCGACACACAGGCTGAGCGTGACACACACAGGCTGAGGGCGACACACAGGCTGAGGGCGACACACACACACACAGGCTGAGGGCGACACACAGGCTGAGCGTGACACACAGGCTGAGGGCGACACACAGGCTGAGGGCGACACACACACACACAGGCTGAGGGCTACACACAGGCTGAGCGCGACACACAGGCTGAGCGCGACACACAGGCTGAGGGCGACACACAGGCTGAGGGCGACACACAGGCTGAGCGCGACACACAGGCTGAGCGCGACACACAGGCTGAGGGCGACACACAGGCTGAGCGCGACACACAGGCTGAGCGCGACACACAGGCTGAGCGCGACACACAGGCTGAGCGCGACACACAGGCTGAGGGCGACACACAGGCTGAGCGCGACACACAGGCTGAGGGCGACACACAGGCTGAGCGCGACACACAGGCTGAGGGCGACACACAGGCTGAGGGCGACACACAGACACACAGGCTGAGCGCGACACACAGGCTGAGGGCGACACACAGACACACAGGCTGAGGGCGACACACAGACACACAGGCTGAGGGCGACACACAGACACACAGGCTGAGCGTGACACACAGGCTGAGGGCGACACACAGACACACAGGCTGAGGGCGACACACAGACACACAGGCTGAGGGCGACACACAGACACACAGGCTGAGCGTGACACACAGGCTGAGGGCGACACACAGACTGAGCGCGACACACAGGCTGAGCGTGACACACAGACACACAGGCTGAGGGCGACACACAGACACACAGGCTGAGCGTGACACACAGGCTGAGGGCGACACACAGGCTGAGGGCGACACACAGGCTGAGGGCGACACACAGGCTGAGGGCGACACACAGGCTGAGCGTGACACACAGGCTGAGGGCGACACACAGGCTGAGGGCGACACACACACACACAGGCTGAGGGCTACACACAGGCTGAGGGCTACACACAGGCTGAGGGCGACACACAGGCTGAGGGCACACACACACACACACAGGCTGAGGGCTACACACAGGCTGAGCGCGACACACAGGCTGAGCGCGACACACAGGCTGAGGGCGACACACAGGCTGAGGGCGACACACAGGCTGAGCGCGACACACAGGCTGAGCGCGACACACAGGCTGAGGGCGACACACAGGCTGAGCGCGACACACAGGCTGAGCGCGACACACAGGCTGAGCGCGACACACAGGCTGAGCGCGACACACAGGCTGAGCGCGACACACAGGCTGAGGGCGACACACAGGCTGAGGGCGACACACAGGCTGAGCGCGACACACAGGCTGAGGGCGACACACAGGCTGAGCGCGACACACAGGCTGAGGGCGACACACAGGCTGAGGGCGACACACAGACACACAGGCTGAGGGCGACACACAGACACACAGGCTGAGGGCGACACACAGACACACAGGCTGAGCGTGACACACAGGCTGAGGGCGACACACAGACACACAGGCTGAGGGCGACACACAGACACACAGGCTGAGCGTGACACACAGGCTGAGGGCGACACACAGACACACAGGCTGAGGGCGACACACAGACACACAGGCTGAGCGTGACACACAGGCTGAGGGCGACACACAGGCTGAGCGCGACACACAGGCTGAGGGCGACACACAGGCTGAGCGCGACACACAGGCTGAGGGCGACACACAGGCTGAGCGCGACACACAGGCTGAGGGCGACACACAGGCTGAGCGCGACACACAGGCTGAGGGCGACACACAGGCTGAGCGCGACACACAGGCTGAGGGCGACACACAGGCTGAGCGCGACACACAGGCTGAGGGCGACACACAGGCTGAGCGCGACACACAGGCTGAGGGCGACACACAGGCTGAGGGCGACACACACACACACAGGCTGAGGGCTACACACAGGCTGAGGGCTACACACAGGCTGAGGGCGACACACAGGCTGAGGGCGACACACAGGCTGAGGGCGACACACAGGCTGAGCGCGACACACAGGCTGAGCGCGACACACAGGCTGAGGGCGACACACAGGCTGAGCGCGACACACAGGCTGAGCGCGACACACAGGCTGAGCGCGACACACAGGCTGAGCGCGACACACAGGCTGAGCGCGACACACAGGCTGAGCGCGACACACAGGCTGAGGGCGACACACAGGCTGAGCGCGACACACAGGCTGAGGGCGACACACAGGCTGAGGGCGACACACAGGCTGAGGGCGACACACAGGCTGAGGGCGACACACAGACACACAGGCTGAGGGCGACACACAGACACACAGGCTGAGCGTGACACACAGGCTGAGGGCGACACACAGACACACAGGCTGAGCGTGACACACAGGCTGAGGGCGACACACAGACACACAGGCTGAGCGTGACACACAGGCTGAGGGCGACACACAGACACACAGGCTGAGGGCGACACACAGACACACAGGCTGAGGGCGACACACAGACACACAGGCTGAGCGTGACACACAGGCTGAGGGCGACACACAGACACACAGGCTGAGCGTGACACACAGGCTGAGGGCGACACACAGACACAAAGGCTGAGGGCGACACACAGACACACAGGCTGAGGGCGACACACAGACACACAGGCTGAGGGCGACACACAGACACACAGGCTGAGCGTGACACACAGGCTGAGGGCGACACACAGGCTGAGCGCGACACACAGGCTGAGGGCGACACACAGGCTGAGCGCGACACACAGGCTGAGCGTGACACACAGACACACAGGCTGAGCGTGACACACAGACACACAGGCTGAGGGCGACACACAGGCTGAGCGTGACACACAGGCTGAGGGCGACACACAGACACACAGGCTGAGGGCGACACACAGACACACAGGCTGAGCGTGACACACAGGCTGAGGGCGACACACAGGCTGAGCGCGACACACAGGCTGAGGGCGACACACAGGCTGAGCGCGACACACAGGCTGAGGGCGACACACAGGCTGAGGGCGACACACAGGCTGAGCGCGACACACAGGCTGAGCGCGACACACAGGCTGAGCGCGACACACAGGCTGAGGGCGACACACAGGCTGAGCGCGACACACAGGCTGAGCGTGACACACAGGCTGAGGGCGACACACAGGCTGAGGGCGACACACAGGCTGAGCGCGACACACAGGCTGAGGGCGACACACAGGCTGAGCGTGACACACAGGCTGAGCGCGACACACAGGCTGAGCGCGACACACAGGCTGAGCGCGACACACAGGCTGAGCGCGACACACAGGCTGAGCGTGACACACAGGCTGAGCGCGACACACACACACACAGGCTGAGGGCGACACACAGGCTGAGGGCGACACACAGGCTGAGCGCGACACACAGGCTGAGCGTGACACACAGGCTGAGGGCGACACTCTGCGTGAGGCTGTCCTGGGCTGCAGTAGCACTAACCCCTGCACCAGTGAAGGAGCTAAGAGGACCTGATCATGGTCTGGAAGAGAGCACCACAGAAGAAACTGCAGCAGTAAAACCTGAAGTTAAGTTTGTGACAAGAAAGGTGTATGTGATGTTTTGTATTTGTGTGTGTGCAGGATCCGTCTGAGGGACTGCTGTGGAATGGATGAATAAAATGGATATTAAAACATTCATGATTTTCTTTGTTTTTTTATTTTACAGATATTGGATTATGAACATTGCAACGTTTATACAGAGTTTCATTTAAGAAAAATTATGCTAAATTCAATATTACGACCATGATTGATGGAAAACTGCAATTTCTTTTCTTTTTCTAATACATGGTTCACCTACTGTTTATGAAAACTAAAAAAGCCCAGTATTTCTTTTTTTTATTTGATGTGTCTGAAACAAAAATAGAATGAACAGAAGGTTCACAAACCAAAGAGAATATCGGTCACGAGCAGTGTTGGTAAAATGTCCCGACACTCTGCAGGTTAAGTAACCAAGAGGCTACTCCACCTCTGCTGCTGTGACCTGTCCTGCTCCACCCAGAGGCTACTCCACCTCTGCTGCTGTGACCCGTCCTGCTCCACCAAGAGGCTACTCCACCTCTGCTGCTGTGACCCGTCCTGCTCCACCCAGAGGCTACTCCACCTCTAGTGCTGTGACCTGTCCTGCTCCACCCAGAGGCTACTCCACCTCTGCTGCTGTGACCTGTCCTGCTCCACCCAGAGGCTACTCCACCTCTGCTGCTGTGACCTGTCCTGCTCCACCCAGAGGCTACTCCACCTCTACTGCTGTGACCTGTCCTGCTCCACCCAGAGGCTACTCCACCTCTGCTGCTGTGACCTGTCCTGCTCCACCCAGAGGCTACTCCACCTCTGCTGCTGTGACCTGTCCTGCTCCACCCAGAGGCTACTCCACCTCTGCTGCTGTGACCTGTCCTGCTCCACCCAGAGGCTACTCCACCTCTGCTGCTGTGACCTGTCCTGCTCCACCCAGAGGCTACTCCACCTCTGCTGCTGTGACCTGTCCTGCTCCACCCAGAGGCTACTCCACCTCTGCTGCTGTGACCTGTCCTGCTCCACCCAGAGGCTACTCCACCTCTGCTGCTGTGACCTATCCTGCTCCACCCAGAGGCTACTCCACCTCTGCTGCTGTGACCCGTCCTGCTCCACCCAGAGGCTACTCCACCTCTGCTGCTGTGACCCGTCCTGCTCCACCCAGAGGCTACTCCACCTCTGCTGCTGTGACCTGTCCTGCTCCACCCAGAGGCTACTCCACCTCTGCTGCTGTGACCTGTCCTGCTCCACCCAGAGGCTACTCCACCTCTGCTGCTGTGACCTGTCCTGCTCCACCCAGAGGCTCCTCCACCTCTGCTGCTGTGACCTGTCCTGCTCCACCCAGAGGCTACTCCACCTCTGCTGCTGTGACCTGTCCTTCTCCACCCAGAGGCTACTCCACCTCTGCTGCTGTGACCCGTCCTGCTCCACTCAGGATCCTGGATGTCGACAAAATTATTGAAATCTCCTCGTGTCACGTCACCGGAGAAAATCCATGAAGCTTCTTTCTTTACAAACCTCTGCGTCAAAGGGAAAAGTGAGTTTCAGAGACTTTTTGACCACAAATCCGTCTCCTTCACTCGCTCCAGAACCAGCAGCAGTCCAACGCCGACTTCTTTATTTATTTTGCATTTGGCAGCTGAATAATTAATTAGCAACGCCTTGAAGTAAACAACATTAAAGCAGGTGGGCTAAAGCGTAGCCTGGATGTGTCAATAATACATGTCTTCCTTGGCCCAGGATAATCGCTTTGATATAAAAGCGTAGGCTCGTGGGGGAGGATACAAACATGTTTTGAGGGTTCTCTCACGTTTTTTAGAGAAACATTTGGTTTCTTTTAGAGTTTCTCTGCATTTCAACTGCCTCTAATTTTTAGTATTTCAGGTAAAGAAGATATTAGATTAGTCATAGAGTGATGAGAATTTGGAATAGACATTTAATTATAAAACTTTAAATATAAAAGTGTTGGCCCTCATCCACTAATAATGGAATTTTATGTTGACCCAGGTCCTGGATCTACAGTCTCAGTCCTAGATCTACAGCCTCAGTCCTGGGATCTACAGCCTCAGTCCTGGGTCTACAGCCTCAGTCCTGGATCTACAGCCTCTGTCCTGGATCTACAGCCTCAGTCCTGGATCTACAGCCTCAGTCCTGGGTCTACAGCCTCAGTCCTGGGTCTACAGCCTCAGTCCTGGATCTACAGCCTCAGTCCTGGTCTACAGCCTCAGTCCTGGATGTACAGCCTCAGTCCTGGGTCTACAGCCTCAGTCCTGGGATCTACAGCCTCAGTCCTGGGTCTACAGCCTCAGTCCTGGATCTACAGCCTCAGTCCTGGGTCTACAGCCTCAGTCCTGGATCTACAGCCTCAGTCCTGGGTCTACAGCCTCAGTCCTTGGATCTACAGCCTCAGTCCTGGGTCTACAGCCTCAGTCCTGGATCTACAGCCGCAGTTATGGATCTAAACTCGTCCATTGGAGGCCTTCGGGTTCTGGTGTTAGCTCTAAAGACAAAGACATGACCAGATAGTATGTAAAACACCCTAAATGCTTCATGCTACATACAGCCTCAGAGGCTAGTCAGATTGAAACTGTGTGTGCATGTGTGTGTGTGCCTGTGTGTGCTCAGTTACTAGCCTCAGAACCTAGTCAGATTGAAACTGTGTGTGCATGTGTGTGTGTGCCTGTGTGTGCTCAGTTACTAGCCTCAGAACCTAGTCAGATTGAAACTGTGTGTGTTCCCCGCTTGAAGTCTAAAGCACTATATGCGAGGAAATCTGACCTAGGTGTCAGACACAGTAACTTAATAAAAGTTCAGACAGACAGAAATAGTTCTAGCGGTAGGGTTGTTAAATGTGGTTTAATGAACGTCAGATCAATCTCGTCTAAATCGCTTCTCATAAACGAACTTATTATAGACAAGGGCTTGGATCTGTTTGCGGCTCTCGGAGACTTGGCTCCAACAGGACGAGTACGTTAGATTGAATGAGTGCACTCCTCCGACGCATGTTAACTACCAGAAAGCCAGAGCTACAGGTCGCGGCGGTGGTGTTGCGATTATATCACACACCAACTTGGTTCTTAGTCCCAAAACCAACAACGCTTTTCACTCGTTTGAAAACTTAACACTTTCAATCACCTGTCCTGGGTGGAGAAAACAAAAAGCAGTACTATTTATAGTTTTATACCGACCTCCTGGTCCTTACAGCGAGTTCCTAACAGAATTCTCTGACTTCATTTCAAACCTAGTTTTGGAATGGGAAAACATAGTTATAGCTGGAGACTTCAATATACATGTGGACGACAGCACTGACAGCTTAAACAAAGCTTTCAGCGCCGTACTAGATGGTGTTGGTTTTACTCAGAATGTCGAGGAACCTACTCACATTCATAACCACACCTTGGACCTTGTCCTGACCTACGGCTGTGATGTCTCCAATGTTGACATCCAGCGTCAAAGCTCGTTGCTGTCTGACCATTTCTTTGATCACGTTTGATCTCGCTTTGGAGGACTTTCCTGTCCCGCAAGATAAAACCATAATTAAAAGAACCTTAAATGATAAATCTATCACAAGGTTCAAAGAACTAATACAGCCTATGTTGAATACTGCTGCAGGTGAACCTGTTCACAGCAGCTGCAGTCCCTCAGTCATTGACCAAACGGTGGGCAACACTATGAGTCTTTAAAATCTGCATTAAATGCAGCAGCTCCTTTAAAACAGAAAACTATTAGGATTAGATCATCGTCGCCCTGGTACAGTGTTCAACTCCACACTTTAAAACAGGACGTCAGAAAATTGGAGAGGCTATATCGCCACTCCCACTCGGAGCCTGTCCACAGGGAGTGGAAAGCAGGTCTCCGAAACTACAAGAAGGCCCTTCGCGGGGCTCGAACTCAATACTATTCAACTTTAATAGAAGCGAATAAAAACAACAGTAGATTTTTGTTTGGTACCGTCGCTAAACTCACAAACTGCCATAGCGCAATCGAGCCTAAAATTCCAAGCTCACTGAGCAGTGTCGACTTTCTCCACTTCTTTAATAATAAAATTACATCCATCCGTGACAAGCTGGAGGAGGTTGCTCCTGCTGTTAGTGGTGGACAGGTTGAAGCGGCATACGTGACTTCCCACTTAGACTCTTCAGTGGGCCTCGATAAATTCATGGCTGTGAGCCCAAGCAGAGGTGATCTCTGTGGTCACATCCTCAAAAGCCTCAACTTGCATGTTAGACGCAGTCCCGACATGGCTCTTCAAAGACATACTTCCTTTGATAATTGAGCCTATCGTAAATATAATAAACGCATCCATACAATGTGGCTATGTCCCACAAGCTTTTAAAACCGCGGTAATCAAACCCCTTCTGAAGAAAACAAACCTGGACCCAGAAATACTTACAAACTACAGACCGATCTCAAACCTCACTTTTATATCTAAAATCCTGGTAAAAATTTTAGGTGAGCAGCTCCGCTGCCACCTGCAGAAAAATAATATGTTTGAAGTCTTTCAATCAGGATTCAGAGCTCATCATAGCACTGAAACGGCACTAGTCAAAGTCACAAATGACTTACTACTAGCTGCCGATAATGGACAAGTGTCAGTGCTGGTCCTACTGGACCTTAGTGCTGCATTTGACACAATAGACCACAGCATTCTACTGCAGAGGCTAGAATGTGATATAGGTCTTAGAGGAACAGCCCTTGGCTGGTTTAAATCCTATTTATCAGATTGATATCACTTCGTCAATGTGAATCAGGACTCGTCGCCTTATTCTGGAGTGGAATTCGGTGTGCCGCAGGGTTCGGTACTCGGACCGATTCTTTTTACTCTCTACATGCTGCCACTGGGAAACATTATTAAAAAGCATGGAATTAATTTCCACTGCTATGCAGATGACACACAGCTTTATCTGTCGATGAAGCCTAACCAGACAGATCAGCTAGAAAAGCTCAGTGCCTGCATAAAGGACCTTAAAATGTGGATGACTCTTAACTTCCTACTTCTCAACCCGGAGAAGACAGAAGTGATCCTACTCGGTCCGAAGCGCCTGCGTGACTCCCTCACTAACCAGATGGTTACTCTCGATAATGTCAGTATAATACCCAGTAACACTGTGAGGAATCTTGGAGTCATTTTTGACCAAGAACTCTCCTTCAAGGCTTATATAAGCCAAGCAACTAAAACGGCGTACTTCCACTTACGGAACATCGCTAAAATTAGGAATTTCCTTCCTAAAAGTGACGCGGAAAAACTCATTCACGCGTTTGTCACCTCAAGGCTCGACTACTGTAACGCTTTACTGGCAGCGTGCCCTAAAGCCTCTTTGAAGAGCTTCCAGCTCGTTCAGAATACAGCAGCTAGGATCTTAACAGGTACCAAAAGGAGGGAGCACATAACTCCGGTGTTAAAATCACTCCACTGGCTCCCTGTGGAGTACAGAATAAAGTTTAAAATCCTACTCTTAACATATAAAGCCATAAATGGCTTGGCTCCTTCTTATCTCCAAGACACGTTAGTGTCGTATCAACCAGGTCGAGCGTTGCGCTCACAAAACGCCAGACGTCTGGTGGTTCCTAAGGTCTCAAAGGTCACTGTTGGTGGCAGAGCATTTAGCTACCAAGCTCCTTTACTGTGGAATCAGCTTCCCATTTATGTTAAGGAAGAAGATACGGTCTCCACATTCAAGGCCAGGCTTAAAGCACTTTACTTTAATTTAGCATATAATTAGGTAATATATAATATGTAGTGTATATATTATATATATATGCTGTATTATGTTATATATTATGTTATATATTATTCAATAATGTATTGTGTTATGTTGTATATTATGTTATATATTATGCTGTATGTTATTCTTTATTCAAGGCTAGGTTTAAAACAGTCCTCTTTAGTTTAGCATATGGCTAGGAAGGTAAGACTCGGAGAAGGTTAAACTCCTCAGAGTGTTAGTCAAGCTGCATAGGGAGTCAGTTTGCTGGGAGAAGTATGGTAACTTGAGCACTATCCTCTCCTCCTTCCTACTTTATCTGTTTTAGCATTTTTAGGATTCTGACTGTAGTTTGTTCATTGCTATTCACCCGTTGTCCCATTGTCTGTTTCATGGTACGATGACGGGATCTCTGAGCCTGGCCTCCTCCATCTACACCTGCGGACTGCCCCGCCCGACCCGCCTGGGAGTGCTTCAGTCCTGCACCGGACCTGTCCACGTTCAGCGGCCACTGGTCCACGTCCTGTAGCTAGCTTAGGTCCTAGATCATTAGCCTGTCCGTCCGGAGGAGCGGATCCCTTTCTCATATGGGTCTCCCTCCCTGTGGGTTTCCCTAGTTCTCCTCCAAGGTTTCTCACTTTTTCCCACTGGGTTTTTTAAGAGTTTTTCCTTGTGGATGCAGGAGGGTCTTGTTGGACAGTTAGTGTCCAACAGAAAGGATTGGTGATGATCAGGACACTTTAGCATTCTACAACATGTATGGACATTTTCTTCTGTGTGTGCTTTATATTCTTCATGTGTTTTAACTGTTGATTCTCTGACCTGTGTTGGTGATTTCAATGGTTTTGTTAAGTCCTCTGAGATGACTTCTGTTGTGACCTAGGGCTATACAAGAATAAATTGTATTGTGTATTGTATTGTATTGTATACATGTTTTTTAGTTTCTGGTCGGGAGGAGCGGCCCTGGCAGCTCTGTATCTGGAAGCTATTGGTGAAACAGATTTGACAGCGCACACAGACAAACAATAGATGGTCAGTGAAGTTCAAAGTGAAATCATTCTCATTAGAGGAAAAATGAAGACATAATTTGTGAGAAATATGACAAAGACTGTTTGCTGTCCCTGACTTATGAAACTTAATTTCAACGCACAGACCTCGCAGTGATTCTTGTACTTTTCTGAAAGCTGCTGATTCTAAATACCCAAGCCTTTTGATGCAATGTTACCTTGAAAATCTGTAATGAATGAAACGATTGATTGACATTCTCCGTTCATATTGGATCAAATGTTCAATATAAACGGATTGTATAAGTTATCTTCTCGGTGCTTTTTGAAATGTATTTGACAAAAAACTTTTTCTGGCGACAGTGCACTTGTCCAGGCTACATTTCAAAAGTTGTTTTAAGATTGTTTTTGTCCGTCTTTCTCAATTTTTTTATCAAACAATGTATTTATTCCATGTATTTCTCGCGTGTGAAGCACTTTGGATAAGGGCTGTCAATCCAGGACTGAGGCTGTAGACCCAGGACTGAGGCTGTAAACCCAGGACTGAGGCTGTAGATCCAGGTCTGAGGCTGTAGATCCAGGACTGAGGATGTAGACCCAGGACTGTAGACCCAGGACTGAGGCTGTAGACCCAGGACTGAGGCTGTAGATCCAGGACTGAGGCTGTAGATCCAGGACTGAGGCTGTAGACCCAGGACTGAGGCTGTAGATCCAGGACTGAGGCTGTAGACCCAGGACTGAGGCTGTAGATCCAGGACTGAGACTGTAGATCCAGGACTGAGGCTGTAGACCCAGGACTGAGGCTGTAGATCCAGGACTGAGGCTGTAGATCCAGGACTGAGGCTGTAGATCCAGGACTGAGGCTGTAGACCCAAGACTGAGGCTGTAGACCCAGGACTGAGGCTGTAGACCCAGGACTGAGGCCCATAAAGAAAAAAAGTGATTTTCTACACTTTGTTTACCTACAACTATCTGCGGCTTGAGGCACAACCTGGCGAACTACGGAATTGTGGGTAGTGCGTGACGTCATCGGAAAACCATCTAAAGGTCAAAGTAGGTAAACGTTGGTTTTGAGGCGAGGATCCAGGAGGAACTGGGAGATTGGCAGATTGGACTTGATGCTTCCTCCTCTGATTTTCTCCGGGCGCACACTCTGACTGTTGAATCCTGATAAAATACTGTCTGTTTTTTTAAGCTAGAGCTAGTTCTTTCTTACAGACTCTGTGCGATAACAACATGCACATTAGCGAGGACAGAAATGTGCTCTCATTATTTTTAATTTCAATGAATCGATCAGCCTTTGTCGACTCAAACTCATATCTCATCCACTTGCATTCTCCACATCTCTTGCCTTTTAACTTTGGAGCCAAAACCCACTGTGCGTCATGTGTGAAAAGCAGGTCATCTGAGCCGAATTCGCGATCATGTGTTTGAAAGAAAAAGTTCAATTACGTTGGGATTTGCCTGGAGCAGGGTGCGAACCCTAGTTGCTATGAAACACTTCTTTCTTCTTCTTCTCTCTCTTTCTTTTTATCGAGGCTCATCTTTTTGCTTGCCGCACAAGTCTGGATTAAGTTAAATACTGTACCAAGCCTTTTGCAATGCAGCCGCCGCCTCCTGCTGTTTACTGATGACAAGATACTGGATAAACTCATGCAGGGATGAGGAGGCTGCAGGCGAAGTCAGACTGATGTTTTAGTGCAGGAGGTAATACGTTTGTTATCACTGCTGTTGGTGTCAGTAACAATAATAACTCAGACTGTTGTTGTGTCTCCGTCGTGTCTCTGTATCTGTATCTGTTTACGACGCTGCTTTGAAATGTATTTTCTCTGTTCGTGCTTTTGTCAGCAAGGATCTCTGGTGTCTCTCGCTCTAGTCTCTCTGGTCTCTCCCTAGTCTCTCTCTGGTCTCTCTCTGATCGCTCCCTGGTCTCTCTCTGGTCTCTCTCTGGTCTCTCTCTGATCGCTCCTTGGTCTCTCTCTGGTCTCTCTCTGATCGCTCCCTGGTCTCTCTCGGGTCTCTCTCTCTGATCTCTCTCTGATCGCTCCCTGGTCTCTCTCTGATCGCTCCCTGGTCTCTCTCTGGTCTCTCTCTGGTCTCTCTCTGATCGCTCCCTGGTGTCTCCCTGGTGTCTCTCTGGTCTCTCTCTGATCGCTCCCTGGTCTCTCTCTGGTCTCTCTCTGATCGCTCCCTGGTCTCTCTCTGGTCTCTCTCTGATTGCTCCCTGGTCTCTCTCTCTGGTCTCTCTCTGATCGCTCCCTGGTCTCTCTATGGTCTCTCTCTGGTCTCTCTCTGATCGCTCCCTGGTGTCTCTCTGATCTCTCTCTGATCGCTCCCTGGTCTCTCTCTGGTCTCTCTCTGATCGCTCCCTGGTCTCTCTCTGGTCTCTCTCTGATCGCTCCCTGGTCTCTCTCTGGTCTCTCTCTGATCGCTCCCTGGTCTCTCTCTGGTCTCTCTCTGATCGCTCCCTGGTCTCTCTCTGGTCTCTCTCTGATCGCTCCCTGGTGTCTCTCTGGTCTCTCTCTGATCGCTCCCTGGTGTCTCTCTGGTCTCTCGCTTTTCTCTCTCTTATCTCTCTGGTCCCTTGCTCTTGTCTCTCTCGCTCTCTCTGATATCTCGCTACGATCACTCCCTGGTCTCTCTCTGGTCTCTCCCCTGTTCTCTCTGGTCTCTCTCCAGTCGCTCTGGTCTCTCTCCAGTCGATCTGGTCTCTCTCCAGACTCTCTGGGCTCTCTTCAGTCTCTCTCTGGTCTCTCTCTACGATCACTCCCTGGTCTTTCTCTGGTCCCTCCCTGGTTCTCTCTGGTCTCATTCTGGTCTCTCTCCAGTCTCCCTCTGGTCCCTCTCCCTGGTCTCTCTCCAGTCTCTCTCTGGTCCCTCTCTCTGGTCTCTCTCCAGTCTCTCTCTGGTCCCTCTCTCTGGGCTCTTTCCAGTCTCCCTCTGGTCCCTCTCTCTGGTCTCTCTCCAGTCTCTCTCTGGTCCCTCTCTCTGGTCTCTCTCCAGTCTCCCTCTGGTCCCTCTCTCTGGTCTCTCTCCAGTCTCTCTCTGGTCCCTCTCTCTGGTCTCTCTCCAGTCTCTCTCTGGTCCCTCTCTCTGGTCTCTCTCCAGTCTCTCTCTGTGCCCTCTCTCTGGTCTCTCTCCAGTCTCTCTCTCAGATCTTTCTATGGTCTCTCTAACAACTATGTTCATCATGTTGTAAATATTAAATTTTGACCAATAGAATCCATTCCTATAGTAGCATTAGCTCTGAGACACATTTGTGATTGGTGCCCATGGCCTCACAACGCAGCGACACAGAGGAGTGGTGTTCTTATTATGGGATGGCAAGCAGAGGAGGGGAGGGGGAGGAGGGGGAGGAGGGGGAAGCAGAGGTCGGACCAGGACAGGCGGCTGATGGGGACTGGGGATGGCTTCTGTTCAAGGAAAGAAAAAGCCATAACATTATTTACACAGAAAATGTGTTATGGATGCAGCCGGCAGTTTGGGATGACTTCATCATGCAGGAGAAGAAACGCAGAGTCAGACGCTTACTAAAGCTGGGGTACTTCACTTTCAAAACTCAAAACATTGAATTATTGGTATAATAAAAATAATAATGATTTTTTTTATATAACGCTTTTTAGGATGCTCAAAGACGCTTCACGTGTCATCTCTCGTTCACTCCAAATAAGTGGTGACAAACTTCAACTGTAGCCAGAGCTGCCCTGGGGCACACTGACAGAAGCGAGGCAACCAGTCTGCGCCACCACCACCAACCATTAATGCACACACCAGCAATATTTCTAATTTGGGGGAAGTGTCTTGCCTAAGGACACAACCACAGTTTGGCACTTTACAGCTGCTGTTCTCAGAGGTCTCCCATCACAGTACTAACCAGGCCCTGCCCTGCTTAGATGTCTGACAGGATCTGACAAAAAAAAAACTGGATTCGAACTCCTCTCTTGTGCAGCTGGGATTTCCTCTGATTTTGCTCTTGTATTTAATATAATGGCAATGGATAAATGTGTTTTATTTTGTTTTAACTTGGAGCAAAGAACGTTCACGATCCTGATAATACACTTTATCGTTCAGTTTCCCTCTTTTCCCCGTTTGCCAAAAACAGGTCTTTTGCGATTATGCAAGGCCTGCTCCCCAGTCTCCTCACGTCCACCACGAGAAGAGATTGTGTCCTGTTTGGTATGGAGGCGGCAGCAGCGGCGCCGCTCCCAATATTAACATCCAAGACTTTGGTTCGAAGACACGCCGTCTGCAGCGGGACAGGTCTGAGATGACCACAGTCCACTGCACTCTCACCTGCAGTCTGTAGAGTATTCCTGCTTTCTCTGAACTGTTTCAGAGTCAAAAGGTGTCTGTCCCTTAAACAGCCCTTATCATTGCGCTGTGGGTTTCCTCCAGGTGCTCCGGTTTCCCTACCACTATAAACATGTGCAAGCAAATGGCTGTGAATCTAAGACTGAGGCTGTAGACCCAGGACTGAGGCTGTAGATCCAGAGACTGAGGCTGTAGATCCAGGACTGAGGCTGTAGACCCAGGACTGAGGCTGTAGATCCAGGACTGAGGATGTAGATCCAGAGACTGAGGCTGTAGATCCAGGACTGAGGCTGTAGATCCAGAGACTGAGGCTGTAGACCCAGGACTGAGGCTGTAGATCCAGAGACTGAGGCTGCAGATCCAGGACTGAGGCTGTAGACCCAGGACTGAGGCTGTAGATCCAGAGACTGAGGCTGCAGATCCAGGACTGAGGCTGTAGACCCAGGACTGAGGCTGTAGACCCAGGACTGAGGCTGTAGATCACAGATTGTTGGTAGCTGCATTTCTGTGTCCCACTTCTTGGAGTACAGGGCCAGGCCACATGACGGAGGGATTGAAAGCAGAGAGTGAGATGACTCAGGCTTGAGTGCAGGAAAGAGTCCAGAGATTTTCTTCAAAATGACGCATTCTTAAGTATTTTCTTTGCACCATTGTAAGGTTTTAGGAGTGATGAGTGTTGAAATACTGGTCTCTCTAAAGATTTATCAAACTTAACTGTTACTGCTGCATGTGACATCAATAACATACTTTTCTTAAACATGTTTTTTCAAATGTCATGTTAGCCACTTCTCTTTTGAAGTCTATTGAAATGATTAGTTAAGAGACGTCCAGGCTGTTTTCGGGCGTGAGAACTGGCCGTCACAAAATGGACATGGGAGAAACAAGCAAGACAAAAAAATAAAGGTTACAGCAACTTCAGTCATGTTGTTGTTTAAACTAGCTAACAAGTCTGTGGGTTACCGTTATGGATCTATAATTATAACTGGATAGAGCTCATGGCTGAAGGCGCCATGTGCTCCGGGGCTTCCTGAGGTAGTGCAGACCAAATAAGGTTAAATATGGGCTAACCAGAAAGTGTCCTCATAGAACTCTGAAACTAAAACAGCTCGACCTCAGCTGACAGAGAACCTGACAGAGAACCTGACAGAGAACCTGACGGAGAACCTGACGGAGAACCTGACGGAGAACCTGACGGAGAACCTGACGGAGAACCTGACAGAAAACCTGACAGAGAACCTGACAAAGAACCTGACAGAGAACCTGACTGAGAACCTGACTGAGAACCTGACTGAGAACCTGACAGAGAACCTGACAGAGAACCTGACACAGAACCTGACACAGAACCTGACTGAGAACCTGACAGAGAACCTGACAGAGAACCTGACAGAGAACCTGACGGAGAACCTGACGGAGAACCTGACGGAGAACCTGACGGAGAACCTGACGGAGAACCTGACAGAAAACCTGACAGAGAACCTGACAAAGAACCTGACAGAGAACCTGACTGAGAACCTGACTGAGAACCTGACTGAGAACCTGACTGAGAACCTGACTGAGAACCTGACAGAGAACCTGACAGAGAACCTGACACAGAACCTGACACAGAACCTGACTGAGAACCTGACAGAGAACCTGACAGAGAACCTGACAGAGAACCTGACAGAGAACCTGACAGAGAACCTGACAGAGAACCTGACAGAGAACCTGACTGAGAATCTGACTGAGAACCTGACTGAGAACCTGACTGAGAACCTGACTGAGAACCTGACTGAGAACCTGACAGAGAACCTGACACAGAACCTGACTGAGAACCTGACTGAGAACCTGACAGAGAACCTTACAGAGAACCTGACAGAGAACCTGACAGAGAACCTGACAGAGAACCTGACTGAGAACCTGACACAGAACCTGACACAGAACCTGACTGAGAACCTGACAGAGAACCTGACAGAGAACCTGACAGAGAACCTGACAGAGAACCTGACAGAGAACCTGACTGAGAACCTGACAAAGAACCTGACAGAGAACCTGACTGAGAACCTGACTGAGAACCTGACTGAGAACCTGACTGAGAACCTGACAGAGAACCTGACACAGAACCTGACACAGAACCTGACACAGAACCTGACAGAGAGCCTGACAGAGAACCTACAGCAGAGTTTTCTGCGGATGTTAGTATCCCTTGTCATCCTGATCTCTTTCGGTTTTCTATAAATCCACACTTTAGTCCAAAAACCTGATCAGCAGCTCCTTATTGGTCAGAACACTGCCGTGCCTTTCTCTGCACTGCTTCGGATCTCACTTTTCAACACAAAATCCCCCTCATTTGATAAAACACGTTGCTCGTTCTCCTAAAATAACTTTTTTTTTGGGAAACTGTCAGTGTTGCACAGATCAGTCAGAAGACAAGGCTCTAAAACCAATATAAATGAGTTAAAGATATAAACGGCTGAATATTAGAGCTTCATGTTTTAGTGTCTGAGTCTGACATTCACAGTATCGTCTCTAACTCATCCTCAGTCTGAGCCTTTTACCGCTCATCTCACCTGTGCATCACCGGCCGTAGAAATTCTCCACATTTTCCTCTGATGACAGAAACACGAAAGGTTTGGAGATCAGCGTGATTGCTCTGAAATTGGAAATGGTTTCTTTAACGTAATACAGAAGCCGAGGTTTCAAATTGGCTTGATTGGGTTCTGAATACAGATGCACCTCGTGAGATAATAAGGCTTTGATGATCTATACAGCGGCAAAGACGGGAAAACCATGTCCCACTCTGAGCGCCGTGCGAAGCCTTTAGACTGATATGGCAACTTTTAAACATTCACTTTGAATTGTTTTAAACATTGTATAAAATCAAGTTATGCACCAAACAGAACAAGAAGCTGTTACTACATCAATGATCACCGACGTCGGGGAATCTAGGGGCAGGTCAAGTTTAAAACAAGGGATTGTAAATATTTAGAGAGGGAGCCAAATGTCCTTTTGACCCGCACCCATAGGAGACCCCATATTACTCTAGCCTGGTCTTACCACAGGGCGACAGTAGCTCAGTTGGTAGAGCATTGGCCTTCAGGCCAGAAGGTCGTGGGTTCAAATCCCACCTCTGCACCTTCTCCACCGACTCCCACTGATAACTGCTGTCGTTGTGTCCTTGGGCAAGACACTTAACCCCACACTTTGCCCAAAGCCCCCACTGAAAGATCAAGGCTATGCTCACACTCAGAGAGCAGCCGTCCTCCTGTGGACTCACCACCTGCAGAGGGTCAGTGAGGGGCTGGTGCTATGAGACTTGGGTGGCATCTCTGACTGCCACCCCCCTGACCCAGAAATGGATTAAAGGGTAGAAAATGGATGGATGGATGGTCTTACCACACCATAGTACAAATTACATTTCATACTAAGGTCTGGATTTGCTCCATTGACTCCGTTAACGGGTGGGAGGGGTTAACTCCTTTTGCAGATTGAAACCATTGGATCTGAGTTTACCGAGACGTATGTAATGCATACGTCTCGCATTTAGCCTAGCATTAGCCATCTCCGTTGCCGCTAACAGAGCCTGTGGGGAGTAGAGCCACAATTAGTCTTCAATTTATTGATAGAACCAGACTGGATTTTTGTACGGCGCAGTAGACACCTTGTTGCGGTGCAGTAGACACCTTGTTGCGGCGCAGCAGACACCTTGTTGCGGCGCAGCAGACACCTTGTTGCGGCGCAGCAGACACCTTGTTGCGGCGCAGTAGACACCTTGTTGCGGCAGAGCAGACACACCTTGTTGCGGCGCAGTAGACACCTTGTTGCGGCGCAGTAGACATCTTGTTGCGGGCGCAGCAGACACACCTTGTTGCGGCGCAGCAGACACCTTGTTGCGGCGCAGCAGACACACCTTGTTGCGGCGCAGTAGACACCTTGTTGCGGCGCAGTAGACATCTTGTTGCGGCGCAGCAGACACACCTTGTTGCGGCGCAGTAGACACCTTGTTGCGGCGCAGCAGACACCTTGTTGCAGCGCAGCAGACACACCTTGTTGCGGCGCAGTAGACACCTTGTTGCAGCGCAGCAGACACACCTTGTTGCAGCGCAGCAGACACCTTGTTGCGGCGCAGTAGACACCTTATTGCGGCGCAGCAGACACCTTGTTGCGGCGCAGCAGACACCTTGTTGCGGCGCAGTAGACACCTTGTTGCGGCGCAGCAGACACCTTGTTGCGGCGCAGCAGAAACACCTTGTTGCGGCGCAGCAGACACACCTTGTTGCGGCGCAGTAGACACACCTTGTTGCGGCGCAGTAGACACCTTGTTGCAGCGCAGCAGACACACCTTGTTGCGGCGCAGTAGACACCTTGTTGCGGTGCAGCAGACACACCTTGTTGCGGCGCAGCAGCGCAGCAGACACCTTGTTGCGGCGCAGTAGACACACCTTGTTGCGGCGCAGCAGACACCTTGTTGCGGCGCAGCAGACACACCTTGTTGCGGCGCAGTAGACACCTTGTTGCGGTGCAGCAGACACACCTTGTTGCGGCGCAGCAGCGCAGCAGACACCTTGTTGCAGCGCAGCAGACACACCTTGTTGCGGCGCAGTAGAGGGTACAGCGGCTAGATGCATGCTGCGAGAGCAGGAGTTGAACATCCTTTCTCTACACACATGTGGCAACCAATCAGAGAGCAGCAAAGTGGTCCCAGCCTTTCCCTGCATATGGACATATGGACCCACTACCACTGTGTTCGTATTAGCCTCATGTCAACTTGGAGAAATGTGGTTTTGTGTGTGAATTTGCCTTGGAGACCAAGAATAGACAAGCGTAGCTGGATCTGCCTTTTCTACGAGACACTTCTCCAAAGACTGCTTGTTCACCATGAAACTGGACGGATCCAAGAACTGGACTTACTAAAAGACTGATCTGGAAACTTGTGTTATTCTCACAATAAAAGACGCTAACGAAGAATTCCAATCTGTACAATGCAACTAACTCGACATATACTTCTGTGAAATAAATAACTAGGGTCTGATTCTGGAGGGGCTCTGGGCGGACTCTCATTGTTTCAAGTTTATTCTCAGGTCTGAATCCATTATGTACCAGGGACAGCAACGTTCTGTGTTTACAAGATCAGCATCAGGCTCCGTCATCGTGCGGGTGGGGAGATTTTGGAACTAAAATGTGTAGAAAACAGCTCAACTTTCCCCCAGCTTCAGCACTTGTCTTCTTCTGCATGTTGAAAGTTGATGTCGGTCCATGTTTTATCGCTAGAGCGTGATCTTTCCGTGAATTCCTTAGGCTCTGTATGTAGCTCTCAGACCCACTGTGTTTTGACCCTGATTCGTACGCATTCTAACACAAAAATACATGCTTACACGATCATGCAAAGGTTTGTGAATTTGTGAAAATATGTGTTAGCTGAATCATCAAAAGACTTTCGACCAAACAAGCCTTCCTCCCTAAGAAATGTTGCACTTGTTCCACTCGCTTTCACTCTATCACTTTTATCACTTGCGACAGTCCACTTCATCATTTGGAAGCAGCAGAACATTTAGTTAAGTGCTCAGTCGTCCTCAGCCAATATAAGTAAACAGATTCTGCCCAACTCCGACCCCCTCCCTCCAGATCCTCCTCTTCCTGTTTTTCTCTGCTGCCGGCACAAAATAAGCGCTCAGTAATTCCAGGCTTCACCTCTGCTCTGATAAAGGTTATCTCTGCAATTTAGTGCCGTGATATCACATTATGGAGAGACTTATGAGGCGGAAATCAAATTCATCTCACAGCGGCAGCGGGAACTTCGCAGTAACAATAGACCTAGTTATGTCTGAGACGATTAGCTTTAGAGATATCAGATGAAATGTTAAAGATACATTACAGTAACACCACCGCATTTTCCAGACAATTTTGACTAATTTTTTGAAAGAAATTGAATATTGTACTTACCCCCGCACCTACAGTATCCCACCATGTAATAATGGGAAATGTAGCTCAAAACTTGACTGATTGACACAGAATTTGTCTGTTGGTCTACAGTTACTTGGCAAAATGTTTTCAGCACCACAACAAAAAAACATTAGCCGCACCTTTCTATTAGCCGTAGCAGTTAAACCGAGGGAAAAAGAGGAGGAAGGTCCTTTATCCGTCCCACAATGGGGAAGTTTCAGTTTGATGCACACACACACACATCAAGGCAAGCAGCGAACATCACTTCCACGCTCCTTATAGGAAAAGTGGGTTTAGTGTCTTGCCCAAGGACACAACGACAGCAGACATCAGTGGGAGTCGATGGAGAGGGTCTCATGGTGGGCTCGAACCCACGATCTTCAGCGTCAGAGGCTAATGCTCTACCAACTGAGCCACTGCAGCACTGTTATTCTCACTGAAGTAATCACTGTTAATAATCATAGTTGTGAGTTAGTTATAAGGGGAGAAACTATTTTATCTATGGTATTGCTGAAAAATACTTATTGCACATAAAAGTACAGTGCCCCATGCTCAGACATATACGTAATCAAACATTTTCATTTTAGTTGAAGTTGCTCACATCCCCTTTAAAGGTCAACGAATAAAAACCCTGTGTTGTTCCGCTGCCGGGAGCTGTCCAGTGCTGATAGTTACACCTTTGTTTGTGTTGAATAAACAGAAAGAGACAGAGAACGGGTCGACGTTAGCTTCAGGCACGTAGACTTCACACCTCTGAGCTTTTGCACACGCATAACTGTGCCATGGTAACACTTCAGTTTGTGCCTTATGCTGCAGGAGCCAACACCAAGGAAGCAGCTCATTCTATGTTGTTAGACTGCGCACTTACAATGTGTTGCAAAAAGTTATGGAAAATGAGTACAAAATGGTTCAAAATTGGAAAAAATTTCTCTTAATTTGAGCATGTTTCGACTGCCTTAGAGTAAGATTCCGATGGGACAAACCAAAATGATCTTGCTTTTAAAATGATACAAGAAATGCCTCCCTTGGAAAGAGAAAACAGGCAAGGCCAGCACAATTCTTACACAAGACAACTCAAAGTCAGTAAAATCATAAATAATTCAACAGAACATTCAAACAAGTTAAGACAAAATCCCTCAATTGCTGCAGAAACAGAACTATTTTTTACCTGGATTTGAACATTGTCAGAGGAAGAAGCCTGTCTCACATTTTCAAGAAGACTGTTCCAGATTATAAGCGGCGTGAATCTGAATGCTGACTCCCTTTTATGAGGCTGAGTTTAGACGGAGACGCTGCGCAGACGTTTCCAGGCGATTAACAGAAACGACCAGGCTCCTAATGCAAATGTCACAGCGTTCATACGAGGATCAAAAACCATGTAGTTCTAGCGCCCGGACAGTAGGGGGCAGAGGAACTTTACAACACGACACACGCAACCCCCAGTCCCCCCCCCCAGCCCCCCCCCCCCCCAGCAGTGTACTCACTTCCTCTGCGAGACGTGGAAGATGCACCAACATAATTCTGCATTTTAACAGCAGCTGTGAAAATGGAAACTGAAACTAGAGCTTTGCGTGGTCTCGTTTGGGCGAACGAAAGAGTAGAATTATCCTCTGTGCCGCGCTCGAAGAACACGTAGCTAGTTAGCTTCCCGCCGCCATTGTTGTTTACATTTGTTCGACTGTCCAAATGAACGTGCCAGGAGCAGTGGGCAGGTGGGGGTCAGATCAGCAGCAGGGATTTCACACCTTTTCCCTTTCGCAGGTGTGAAAGAGCTCCCACTGTGCAGCGTATCTGAGCTGCCCCACTCTGAGCTGCCCCACTCTGAGCTGCCCCACTCTGAGCTGTCCCACTCTGAGCTGCCCCACTCTGAGCTGCCCCACTCTGAGCTGCCCCACTCTGAGCTGCCCCACTCTGAGCTGCCCCACTCTGAGCTGTCCCACTCTGAGCTGCCCCACTCTGAGCTGCCCCACTCTGAGCTGCCCCACTCTGAGCTGCCCCACTCTGAGCTGCCCCACTCTGAGCTGCCCCACTCTGAGCTGCCCCACTCTGAGCTGCCCCACTCTGAGCTGCCCCACTCTGAGCTGCCCCACTCTGAGGCTGGATCTGAACACTTCACTTTCACCGCCCTGGAACACAGTCTTCGTATGAACGGGGGGTAGCAACCGACATCCAACTGTAGCGTTTTACTGCTACAGTGTCTTCGTGTAAACTGGGCCAAAGTTCTGACTCTGGGAATCAACCGGAAACCAGTCCCCCGTGTTCCTCAGAGTCCCAGCAGGAAGCCAGTCCCTGTGAGTCCATGGAGAGACTTGTCAAACTCTTACTACTGCACTAATTCAATATCAATACTCAGGTTAGCTTCCACCAACACTAACATTTTCTTTCTTCTAAAACATGTAACTAAACTTATTATATGTTTGTGAAGATTGAATCCGGTTGAAATTGAGGACACATAATTATAGCTTTTGTGGAGACGGGGGCGGCACATGGTAAGGAAGCAACAGCAGACGGCCGGGGCTAAATAGTAAGTAAGTAAGTAAGTAAGTAAGTTTTTATTTATATACCGCCTTTTCACTGCAGATCTGAGTCTCAAAGCGGTTTACAATTGTTAATTTTGGGCATTTGTCTCTCACTCCACACAGAGATGGGAGCGGGGTCGCCAGTACAGGAGGCATATGCCAGAACTATTGTACATATTTTTAGTGGTAGGGGAAACCGGAGTACCCGGAGGAAACCTACGCAGACACGGGGAGAACATGCAAACTCCACTCAGAAAGGCCCTGGTCCGACCGGGATTCGAACCCAGGACCTTCTTGCTGAGAGGCGAGAGTGCTAACCACTCAGCCACCGTGCCGTAGCCTTATGGTGGAAATATAATTAGGTCGTATAATTTCAGGGAGGAATTAGCGCACACCTGGTCACAAGACTGAGAAAACCAGGACTGAGACATGGAAACGGGAGAACGAGACAAACACAATCAGTAATAATAACAGTTTAAGTCCAATCGCGCCTGGTAAAAAACTAGTTCGGGTTCATACTGAAGCCAGATACAGAACTGAATGTTTTACAGTATGCGGTAAATAGACGGTATTTGGACGACAAAACAATATATACAGTACGTACAATATTAGATGCTTATTCTGTTTGGAGCTGACTTTTAAAAATGTAATTATCATCACAATTTACCTTTAAAAAGTAAGCATTCATCTGATTGGTTAAACCCACTTGTCATTCATCTCTTTGAGGGTGTCGGCCAATTCAAATTCCTGCCTCCTGATTTAGTTTCCCGGTTCTGGAAGCACATTTTGTTTTCTGTTTTTGACGTTTTTAGGAATGTTGAGACACTTTTGCTAGCTTATAACCGTAAGCATTTGGATTAGACGGATGCAGTTTCTCGAAATGTCCAATGTCCTTGCCGGAGCTGAGAGTTTGGTCGGACTTCTGCGTCTTGGGAGATTTGCAGTTATGCCATACCCTGTCTGTTTCTAGATGGATTTAATTGCTTTGCTAAAGACAGAAAGGGCCGGGCGTGTGAAAAATGGCAAATAGGAATAAAGTGATTCTGTTCTGGTTTGTTTTGTGCGATTCCAAGATTAAAAGATAACATTGTGGAAACTTTTAGTGACTTATTATCATCAGTTACTCGTACCCCGCTTGATAGACCTGTTTCGATGAACCCACAACCTTGTAAAGTCCTCTAAGACTGTTGCGTTTTAGGGCCATACAATAATATATTGAACCGAATTGAGTTTAAAACAACTTTAAGACCTTATGCCGGGTTTGATGTATTTAGAAATACAGTTTTAATACCATTTTATATTAGAAGAGAACTACTAAAGGTTTCAAAATCAGTTGTTGTTTTTTTTGTCTGATCCCCCCAAATCGAAATAACCCCATAGCAACGCCCTTAGAGACGGAAAAACTTCACAGCCCTTGGTGACGTCAGAACGGGTACGTTTCAACGCTGTAAGTTGTTTACAATTTGGTATTTGTTCTTTTTTTGCGGATATTCAAGATGACAAGGCCGTGTACAGCGAGTCTTAGATAACTACTAGACTGTGACCCGTCGTTGTCACTGAGATAGTCCAGTGGGTGTGTTAATGGACTGCCAATCTAGATACTGGAGTTCAAATCCCACCTCAGACACTTTTTCACTCTCAAAACGGCCATTTATGTGTAGAGAGCAATTGTCACCTGTAGAGGGCAGTATTGTGTTGGGCATCAGTGGAGAGAAGAGAGAAAAGGCAGTCCTGTGGCATAGATCCATGGTTTTCAATGCATGGGCGTTACCCGCTGTGACGTCACACACAGGTTAGAGCATAGACAACTTAAATTCATGAAAAACACGTTCTTTTTATAAAATATAGGATTTTTTTTTGCCGGAATCTCTTTCAGATCGACATTGTCATGCAATTTTGATATCCACAATTTTTTTTTTTTAAACCCGGCATAAGGTCTTTAACCCATATATTTAACAGGCGTAGAAGCTGCAATATTTGATGTATTTGGCCTTGGTTCATTCACTCTGGTTTCGCTTGGTCCAGCAACCACTTGATTATTATCTGTTATAAAATCTTTCTTATGTTTACCCAGTTCCTCTTTACCCCCGTGAGAACCAGAGCATTACTAAAGTCGAATAGTAATTATTTGCAGCTAATAAAACTTAAATATAAACCCAGTAGTCCTCCTGGTCCGACCTGCATTGATCGCGTGCTCTGCCTTCACCCTCACCTTGAACTGTGGCTGTTTCTGATGGATTCTCAGCTCATTAAAGAGTACGGCAGGCTGAGAGGGTCAATCCAAGGAGGACATAGAAAATCAGGCCAAAGAAACAGCAGAAGCAGGAGGGATGAGGAAACTGCAGGTGTGTGTGTGTGTGTGTGTGTGTGTGTGTGTGCGTGCGTGCGTGCGTGTGCGTGTGTGTGCGTGTGTGTGTGTGTGTATTATTACTACTTTAATTTTGACAGTTACTTATTTATTTTTTTACACTAGGCTACTGGTAATGCTACTAAAGCTACCGATGCTACTACTTCTACCGCTAATGCTACCACTTTTACCATATTAGGTCAGTGAAGGAAAACTGTGAGAGCCAAAGCAGTTAAAATGCTAAAAAAGTGTTTAATTTAAAGTTAAAAATATACAAGTTTTTTGTTAAAAGGTCAAACAGATTATATGTTAAAAATGGTTAAAACCCTTAAAAGTTGAAGTTAAATGGTTAAAATCCTTAAGTTAAAGAAAGATTCCAAAATGTTATAAGTTAGTAAATGTCATAATGATTAAAATCTGTAAAAGGCAATTCGGGCGTTCTGCTCTCCCAAAATTCCATCCACTGAGCGGCGCTGTGATCAAAAAATGACACCGTTTGTTGCCCAGTTCACTTCCGGTTGATTTCATACAATGGCGAATATGGCTCACGAAAACAACAAACGATTGACAGTGCCTGAATTGCGTGAAAGGTTGAAGCGAAAGGGTATTTGCAGTGTGGGAAAACGAAAGGAGGAATTGTTGTTGCTAGTTCAACGAGCGGATGGTGTTTATGAAGATTTAGAAGAAGATGACAGCGAGCAGAGTGAACGAAAACGGCTGTGTGTGCGAGTGACAGATGTAACAATGAGAATGAAGTTCAGCTAAGAGGGAAGAATGTGAATTGGACGGATGATTTGCGCGATATGCCACTAGTTAGAGACGGGAATGTATTTGCATACAGAAAATGACGAAAACACTCAACCATTTAGAGAAAATGCGCCGGGCAGAGAGAACCGGAAGTTGCGAAGGCAAGTGTTACCCATAATGCAACGCAAAATTCAGTCGCTCCCCCGCCCATCGGATGGAATTTTGGGAGAGCAGAACGCCCGAATTGCAGAATACTGTATCTAAGTTTAAAAACAGGTAGAGCAGCTTTAAAATCAGAGACACTCCCATTGTTTAGACTGCTCTGAGGTCATCAGTCTGAGTTTGAGCGCAGGTGTGGGACCATGTGGGACCCTGTGGGACCATGGGAGAACACAGATTTTCTACCTGCAAACTCTGGGAGACTGTAATGTTCATTTTCTATTGTTATTTTAATTCGATAAATGGACTTAAACGGATTAGGTCTCCCTGGTCTCAGTGTCAGAAGAACTTTGGCTCACTGTGGCTGTCTTTAAATGAGCCGCCACAAAAACACATTCATTAATCCCACAATGAATGAATAAACCATTAGCAGTGCTTTAATCTCGACTGTATCTGTATCACCTCCGTTATATTTAACACGGTCTCCATCTTAGCCGCGTGGGACCCGACCAAACCGCTCCTCAGGTTATATATCTGCGCCTGCGGTTTGCTGTCGTCTGTTTGACAATCCAGACACACTCCACGTCCCAGAGCGGCGGGGGGCGGCCATGTTTCATTTCAATTTCTCCTTCCTTTATGTGCGGGGCATTGGGACGGCCACAGCGGGGGACTCTCACTCTTCAGGTATTCTCTGAGAAGAAAGGGAAAAAGGCCACGGCTCCTGGCGAAAGCAACGGAGCTTGTTAAAGTGAGGAACTATGGCGTGGGTAAAATGGTGTATTTGGAGAAAAGTAAAGGACGATAGAGATATGAGTCTGGGGTTTAGTGTGTTTAGTCTGGAAGCGAAGGTCTTTGACAATGTTGGGCGTATTGTGATACAAAACAACACTGCTTTTTGCTGTAAAGGAGATATAGATATGTAAATATTTGAGTCAGTGCAAGGGTCAGTGTGCATAACATATTTAACCCTTTTGTATTTTGTTTTATACGCCACAAGATCAGCAAAAGAGAACAAATCTGCTCCAAAATACGGCATAATAGTAAGTAATTATTTATATACCGCCTTTTCACTGCAAAGCTGAGTCACAAAGCGGTTTACAATTGTTATTTTTTTTGGGCATTTGTCTCTCACTCCACACAGAGATGGGAGGGGCCAGTACAGGAAGCGCATGCTAGACCTATTGTACATATTTTTAGCGGTAGGGGAAACCGGAGTACCCGGAGGAAACCTACGCAGACACGGGGAGAACATGCAAACTCCACTCAGAAAGGCCCTGGTCCGACCGGGATTCGAACCCAGGACCTTCTTGCTGAGAGGCGAGAGTGCTATCCACTCAGCCACCGTGACGCCCAGTTTAATACTGCATCAAACTATAAAACATGAGGT